ATATATATATATATATATATATATTACCGGCTTGTAGACAAGCATAGTTCCAACGCCAAAATAATAATAACAAGAACAATAATAGGGGGCAGGTGGATTGGGATACAAAACAAAGACGGGAAAATGGCTAATAGCTGGGATAACAATTTTTGTGTGTGTGTTTCGGGAGAGCAGAGCTGTACACAACCGAGCGCGTCCTCAGGTCGCAGATAGGGGAACGGCCGTCAACTCACGGCTAACCGTGAATAAGGTGGGCTTCGACCTGCCGAATAAGCGTTCGCGGACGATCAGCGGCAGCGCTCGAGGATGTGGTTGGTTTACTCCTGACAAGGGTTCTCCGCACAAAACAGCACATATATCTGTGGACAGTGCTGTGACATGGCGAGTGTGGCCCGCCACTAAATATAGCCATTGATCCTTGTCGAGATCCATTGTTTGACAAGGTTTTCCAGAAAAGGCTAATGAACCGAAGACTGGCCATCGGCTCATCTGGAACATTACTGCTGCCTTGCAGTCCGCGCTTGGTTGCGCAAAGGCTAGAGTGCGTCCTCGAACAAGACCTACTCTGGACCGGGCGACCGAGTAGTACAATAGCCCGCAACGCATACAACCAATGAACCTTGCTCTTACGACTATGTACTCTGATGCTTTCTCATCCTGCAAAAAACATTCTACACCGTACACACCCTCTTGTTCTTCCAACCCCCTCCCAGCTCACTGGAATGAGAATAAGTGGCTGGCTATCTAAATGAGAATAATACCGTCACCATAAGCTCCTAATAATATCTAAAATACTTAGTTTAAATTTGCGATATAATTTGTCCAACTAGATCATACAACAATGGATGTGTCAGGTACGTGTTTTGGGCGAGCATTTAACCCCGAACTTCCGTTTGCGTGATTCAATGTTCCGATAGGGCATAAAAAGTATCCACTCCGTCTACAGCTACTAATCAATACAACCTTGAATTGGAAAGAAACCAATACACATCAAGTGCATGGGAAAACGGACTCCAAGGAAATTGAAACAGTATACACAATATAAGCAAGTTCTGACATCTGGAAATTCTCATGGGTCATCCAGAAATATTGCATCTTAAAGTTACTGCGGTTATGAGCTCAAGTTGTTGCTCACATATCATTTGAACTCCGGGTTTGGAAGCTCAACGTGACTGTTCATGAGTTGAGTACCCGTGGGGACACACCTCTAACAAGTCTGAACAAGGATGAACAGTCATCCAGCGCTGTTGGACAACTCGATAAATGACCCATTGACTTCATCTGATCCTAAAAACCTGAATTCCTGTTCTATCTGTCAGTATAATGAAATGCTAAACACTAACAACAAAAAGGAACAGGTGAATGTATTGTAAACTTTTACAATTTTCAAACTATGACAAACCTCTTTACAGCAACCTATTACTTCATCATCACATCAATTTACGGACTGAAATAAATCGTAAAATATGCAGCTTTTGTGTATCCAGTTGTTATTCGTCCCCCAACGAGAAATAGCGTATGGAAATAAAGTGGGATCTTCTCTCTCTATTTGTGTGTAAGAACATGAACTATTTCACGTATCGTTCATAAATGAAAAAGAAATAACATACAGGCTAAGCTCAGTCACTTTTAACTTGTGACATGTAAGAAACGGTATTGATTTTCACCGATAATATTTGAAATCTCATCTTCACGCACAGTTCTCAGTTCAAACACTTGGGAAGCGCCTTGGTCGAGTTTCTCTCTTGCTAGAATGTACGAATACGTAGTGCATATCTACTGACCAGTTCGGGATTTTGACTCCCGAGCCCTCACATCGATTCTGTATGTATGCCAGCTAACTCCAATTGGGGCTGACTGGAATAATCGATTCCAGTTTTTCCAGAAATGGTCAATCAGTTTATTGAACGCAACAATTGAATGGATGAGCTGGAGACTGAGTAAAGATGAATTTTGAAAAGTAGTTTGTCAAAATCGAAGTTCTATTAGTTGCAGATAATTATCAAATACTGATGGTTCTTCGAACTTGCATCCATAAGTCTACCGTTATTGTTGTGCTTACTCTCCGTAACTTGTTTCTATTCGTTGTTCCCATGCGTAC